GCATGCAAATTCAGAAAAGATTTTCATCAGTTTGACAGCACACGTGCTAATCTGCATGCTGCAAATCCTTACAATGCATACATATTAAAATACGCAATGCATTTTACATAATGCAAGCAAATTAATAGAATGCGCTGCATTTATTAATAACACCAACACTATACGAAAACAAGCTGCATATTATGTTCTCACAACTATTTCAAGTAGCACGGAACACAATGAAAATGTTTCAAGTGGACCCAAAAACCATGTGATGGACGCCGCTGTGCCATGACTAATGCTCAGTGAAATTGTAGGTGATCTTCGAAAGCTGAGTTTTGTGTTTGCTTATTTAAACATCCTGATTCTCTTGTCTTTTGTATTTTATCAGTCCAAATAACCATAACCTAAATCACCAGTTCCATCATGTTTTAGAGTTTTCTTGAAACATTTTTGTTGACTTCGGTGCTATTTGAAAGTGTTGATCAAATGCAGTGTGGTATTGTAAATTGTTTGTCTATGAGAAAATGCAGCACGTTTTATTTATTTGTTTGCACATTTTTTTTAAAATGTGTGCATTGTGAGGATTTGCAACAAGTGTGCTTTCAAATGGATGAAGATCTTTTTTTTTTATTTGTTGGCGTTTTTTGTAATTGCATGTATTTTCTTAAATTGCAGCACGTTAAGCACTTTCTGCCACCGTAGAACCAGTCTTTATTAATCAATAGACCTTTCAAATCAATGACCTTTCACTTTATGTCAAATAGGCAGAAATCATTGGACAAATATCAAAACTCACTAGTAAACAATTTTATTTTAATACTGTTGGTTTGTAATAAACAAATCGTGGAGACAAAATGGGGAAATATTACCACAACTTCAAATGGACCAACTTTAAATATTGGTTCTGTTTTAAGATGTAGATGATATTCACTTTCTGGAGCTTGCAACCAAGACTAGTATACTGTATAATGTGTGTAAACATTCACATAATTCTATATATATATATATATATATATATATATATATATATATATATATATATTTATTTATTGTGCTTCATCTGAGTCTTTTACCAGCCTGGGGTCATCTTGTAAATGTCATTTTCCCTGTCTTTTTTATTTATTAAGTTGTTTTATTTATTTATATTTCTTGTCAAACAAGAGTGACATTGGATGTGAGTGGCCTTGACTGCTGCACCCTTCATATAAAAGATAGAACATCAAGATATAAATACACTGACTTGATATCCTTCGTCATCATCTCCATATAATCACTCACGGTGTGTTTCTTCCCAGCACTTCCATTTTATACTCAACAGCAGACAATCAGAGCACTGATTGCAGACTTGTCTTAGTCTATTTACAAGTGCTGTGAGTGGTTGGCGAAGCATTGGACGTCCTTGTTGTTGTCGATAATGTCTGGAATTGGAAAAACATAATATGCCCTAAGCCTTTAGGATTTGTGCTTATCTCCTGTTGTCAGACACTGGAATGGTCTTTGTGTTGAATTGGTCTCTCTCTCTCTTTCTCTCTCTCTCTCTCTTTCTCCCACTTTAACCTTGCCATCAGACAAATACAGATAAACAAAGTGTGATAGCATCACTTATTACCTCTAATGCTGTGGTATTTCTGCACATTAAAATCCTAAAATCACTGTAAGTTCATCTGTGGTGCTCAAAGTCCATTATTTTGCTTGATGTACTTTAATCCAAAACTGTGGTTCAATTTAATACAGACTGGAGGGAAATCGCTGAACCAGACTTCCCTTTTGAAAAACAAGTATAAGTCATGCCTTTAAAAGTACTTCTTGCAGAAACACTACTTTAAGTGTGTAATGACTGTTCTGTTTTTACTTTATGTTAATCAAATAATGTATGAATGCAATTTCAATGCAAGTAGGACTTCAGTACATATTACATTTTAGATTCAGCATCAAATTAACTGTATAAAAAAATATTTAGCATATTAAATGTGAGTAATGTGGCAAAAATTGTTGAAATAATGTTTAATGTGTGTCTTCTGTAAGTGATAAGTATAAAATGATATTAACAATTTTGTTTAGAAAAAAATAGAATAGAAAAATAGGAAAATAGGTTGCTTGCTCTCCCTGCATTCACGTGGGTTTCCTACGGGTGCTCCGGTTTCCCCCACAGTCCATAGACATGTGGTACAGGTGAATTGGGTAGGCTAAATTGTCCATAGTAGTGTATGTGTGTGTGAATGAGTGTGCATGTGTTTCCCAGTGATAGGTTGTGGCTAGAAGCGCATCCGCTGCATAAAACATATGTGCTAGATAAGTTGGCGGTTCATTCCGCTGTGGTGACCCCAGAATAATAAAGGGACTAAGCCGAAAAGAAAATGAATGAATGAAATTAGGAAGCAACATTAAAGCTTTAGTTGTTTTTGTTTTTTTTCCACAAATGCACCCCCTTTTCTTCTCTCAGACCAACATATATATATATATATATATATATATATATATATTTTTTTTTTTTTTTTTTTTTTTTTTTAAATATGGTGTCTTGTTAAATGTTGACAGAGGGAAAAGATGGCATATTTGAGTCGATCTGCATTCTCTAAGCATGCTCCGTATGTATGGAATGAGCTTCAAGATATACTATGTATGAAATCCGTACCATCTATCACTATATTTTAAAATAATTTAAAGACGGTCAATTTAGAACAGTGCACGTTTGAACTATTTTTTTGGTTTATCGGTGGTGTAAAGTAACAAATTACTAATTTAGTAGTTTTTTTCAGGAATTGTAATTTATACGCAGTTTTAAAGATGTGTACTTTTACGTTCCCTTGAGTTCATTTTTAGTGCTGTATCAGTTATTTTACTACACTACTTGCCTTCATCCTACAGTCATATTATTTCTAGTCTACGGGGATAAGAAAAATTTGTCCTGTGAGTTAAATTCAAATCGCACATAAAAAGTAAATCGCATCATACTGAACTACGTTAAGACATGCAGTAAACTGTTTGCAAGTATTAAATGTGTCCAACAAGTTACTTTACACCAGGGGTGCCCAAACTTAGTCCTGAAGATCCAATGTCTGCAGAGTTTAGCTCTAACTTGCTTCAATACATTTGCCAGAAGCTTTGTAATACCTGGTAAAAGCTTGATCAATTGATTTTGGTTTGTATAATTGTGGATGGAACTAAAATCTGCGGGACACCGGTCCTCCAGGATCGAGTTTGGGCACCCCTGCTTTACATGCAATGGCCCACATTGCATGTCACTGATGAGAAAATGGCAGATGTTTAATGTATGATGACTGAAATGGCCTTAAACAATAACTAAATGCACTACAGAATGTTAGTAATAGACACAGACACACACACACACACGCACAAATGACATGTAAACGCATCAAGCCTTCCCAACATAATACTCACTACTCACTATTTGAGTACTTTTAAAATGGCTACTTTTTACTCAAACTTTAAGTGATATTTATAGCAGATACTTTTACTCTACTCAGACTACATTTTTGGGCAGGTAATGCTACTTTTACTTGAATAGGATTTTTCAGTACTCTTTCCAACACTGGCTGCCTGTCTTGACCAGGACTCCCTGGTTGAAGAGATATTTTATCTTAATGGGACATTCCTGATTAAATAATAGAATAAAATAAATTAAATTAAATTAAATCAAATTTAGGAAAATGCATTAAGTGTAACCTTATTTATAATGATAACATGCAGTAACATATAACCATAACTTATATAATTATATTAAACTTTATTGAACGTTCACATTTTTTGGAAGGACACTATATACTACTGCAGGTTAATTATGTGTATATATAATGTCAATAATGTGCACCTATAAAAAAATGTGTAAAATGCAATAATGTGCACCTTTTTTAAAACTGCTCGGAAATAATTATTGTGAATAGTGAATAAACTTGACATGCCCATTTAGCATTTTTAATTTATTTAAACCTAACTAATTCATTCAGTTTCTTTTTGCTTGGTCCCTTTTTTAATCTGGGGTCACCACAATAGAATCAACCAAAAACTTTTATTTAAATATAATATTAAATCTAATTATTTAATATAACATCAAATATTTTAGTGTATACAATAGATAGCTTTTCCCAGTATTGGGTTGACACTGGAAGGGCATCTGCTGTGCACAACATGTGCTGGATAAGTTGGTGGTACATTCCGCTGTGGCGGCCCCTGATGAATAAAGGGACTAAGCCAAAGGAAAATAAATGAATGAATGAATGAATGAATGAATGAATGAATGAATGAATAAATGAATGAATGAATTAATTAATTGATTAATTAATATGTAGCTTTTTTTTCCTTTATACTTTTAATAAAGTAGCAAAATCGTTTAATTTTACATTCTTACAAGTCACATTGCTAAACTGTACTTTTTTATTTCATTATTTAATTGATCTATAAGTCAATGTAATATTTAGTCCTAAATAAGTAAATAAATTAGCAATCACAACATTTTATGTAAATAAATGCCAATAATACAATAATAACGTTAAGTTATTATTATTAAAATAAGTTTTGAAGTACACTATACATTCAAACAGACACATATTTATTTTTATCTCGTGCTCTGTTTGAATAACCTATAAGCTCTCTTGACCTTTGTTTCAACTTTGTTATGTTTGAGTAATCATAATGGACAGATTACTGTCCTGACTGAACGCTCTTTCTCTTAATCACATATATGGATATTAAAATAATGAGAAAGTACAACTGAAAATATTAGACAAATATTTTATCCTTAAGGTGGTTGGCCAAAACTGATAATAATATACTGACAGTAATATACTGTATGAGAGCAAATCAATCTCATAAATTATTTGTAAAAAAACAAAAATAAAATAATCAGCATTATGTTTCAAATAAATCTGTTTAAGGCAACTTTACCGGCAAAATTCCTTTAAAAAGATGAATATACTAATGACGATGATGCTATTTGTAGTCATGGAAACTCCACACAATGGCTCGACGTCTCTCTCTCTCTCTATCTCTCTCTCTCTCTCAGTTGGGTCGGTGAGCGCGAGCCTCTCCATCCTCTCCTAAAGCCCTTTACTTTGCGCATGTACAGCCAAACAGAACATTTCACCGACTCCAAGATGGCGTTAACACCACTGGCTTGCGTTCTGCTTCTCCTTTCCATGCAATGTAAGTACACATCGGCACACTTTTTACACTTTCTTTGTGGAAACAGCAAAAGTGAGATAAGTAGTTGTGAATTATTTAGCGTAGTTCTCGAAACGTGTTTCTGTTTCACTGAAGTCATGTCTCTTTAAGGCAACTAAACTATTGAGCTAACCCGTTAGCTCTTTTAGATGAGGTGTTAGATGTGGATGATGAGTCCAAACTGAGGTAAAAGTAACATTTTCGGGTGTTTGTGCTGTTTCTCGCCACACGCGGTTGAGGTTTTGAGTTTCTCTCGCAGGAATGTTTCTCATCGCGGGCTGGAGACTCGCATCCCGCTCCGTGTGTTTGTCCAACTAACCGTAAATTCATCCATACGGCTCAGTTACTCGTCTGTTCTACAGGTTATGTAGGTTGTTTACGGGAAATTTTAATAAAGCTGGCCTTTATAATCGAGTAAACTTGTATAACAGTTGTTTTTGAGCGGTTTCGGTGAGCTGGACTCGGTTCTTTGTTCACGCTTTAAAAGTTTTTCTTTTCCTTAAAATGTGATGAACAAATGATAACAGAGTGTTTCGTGTTGTTGTTGATGCCGGTGTGTTTCCCAAACCGCTCGTGTTTTGTAAGTTTGTTTGTTTTGTACTGTTGAAAAGAGTCTGAGTGGAAGCGGGACTTGTTTATTGTGAGATAACGGTTTTCTGCCTGAAGTGTTCACGAGAGGATCAGGCAGTGCGCGACTCGCAGCATTAGCACGAGCTTTGATTTCAGCATTTTGCCTCCTTCAATATTCACAATAGAGTAAGTTTTTTGGCAAAGGGGAGTAATTAAAAAAGATGGAATATTTATGTCCTTGGTCGTTTGAACAGTCGGTTGTAATTTAATAAAGGAAAGGTTTCAGTCTAGACCACTAGCTTAATTAAATTCTGTAAGAAGATGAAGTTTCTTTTCTTGCTGTGGAAAGAAAGCAATCAGTGACTTTATTGTTGTAGTTTACTTATGGTGACAGTTTGAAGTCATTTTAAAGAATAACCAACAATTTAAATTATTAAAAGTATCATATACTTTTTATTTTCTATTTATGAAGGTGAATAGCTTTTGTCTGCTAAAAATGCTATTTTAAATGTTAACTGTTGTTGTAGTTGGGAGTCACGTATTCTCTTGTAAAAGTTAGCCATCTCCTGAGATTATTGTTAAACATATCATGTAATTTTTATTTTCTATTTGTGTTGGTGAATAGCTTTTGTCTGTTAAAATTGGCATTTTAAATGTTAACTGTAGTTGTAGTTGGGAATCACGTAGGCTCTTGTTAAAATTGGCCATCTCCTGTGATTATTCAACTGTGCTGATTGGCTTAATTACAGGCTAAAACACTATACTGCTTGTAAATCTGTGTTGTCTCCTACGCTAAGATGTGCCATGCCTGTCTTTTCTATTAACATGCCTGTCTTTTCTGATCTCTCGTTAATTAAGATTTAAAGCTTAAAAGAAAGAAAAGAACTAAATGTGTTTTTCAGCTTTATGTGCTAAATATAATTCATGTAAGCATATATTTTATTATAGCTATGAAAAATTAATAAAATTAAAACACTCAAACTTTTAGTTTCTTTAGATTTACAGTTTTGTGTTTGTGTAAAATTTATAACTTAAAATATGTAATTAAGATCTCTATTTTAACATGTAATGACTAAAAACTAACAGTAAATGACAATATATATTTATTTTATCATATTATATTTATTTGAAATGTTATCAGACGTTTATTAAAAGAATTAAAAATATAATAATAAACATTTTTATTCAAACTCGTATCTAAAAAAATCTGTAAATCCAGATAATCTGTGACTTTTATTTTTGTGAATTACATATTATAAATGTTAAAAAGTTTTTTAAATAATTAAATATATAATTAACATTTACTCATGTAAATAGTATGTTGCAGCATAACCACTTATGTCATGATTGAAAGCAATTGAAATGATATTCACATTTAAAATTTGTCTTATTTAAAGCCACTTCATGCAATACTTGACCTGGAATATTTTAATCAGTTTTTATTGCAGTTTTGATTAAAATTTAAGTAACGGTGTTATTCACATTTTCAAAAGCAGTCGAAAGTGCATGCCAAAAGCTATTTCTTCGGGGCTTGTTATACCATATATGTTTAAAAGACTATGTCTAGTCTCTGGAGTGCTTTTGTACAGTGGAAACTCTCTGGTGTCTTTTGCCAGCACTTTTGGTGCCAAGTTATGCTTTACTGGATGGGATAAAATAGATTCAGGAATAGTAAAGGTTGAGATCACACCCCATATTTTAGGTTAACACTTGGAAGAGTGGTAGGTAGCCTTCCATTTTAGTCCACACCAGGCTTAAGGAGAGGTTGTGGAACAACAATGTGAGATAATGTTCACCACTGGGTCGCCTAGGAAAATGCTGATAATTGTCTGTTGATGAGATTAATAAATCAGATGTGATTATCTAGTGAAAAATAGTGAAAGTGATAGCATGTCCCTTGAAGGCTGAGCGTGCTTTCTTTTCCACCCGCTGCTTCCCAGCAAATGGCTTTCTGGGGGTTCATGAAAAGCATGCTGGACCTTCTGGGCATGTCCATCAGTTGCGGGCTGACAGTTTTTGATGTGTTCAGTAAGCGACAGAGAGAAATATGCATGGAAAGATAGCCATTCTCTGTGGCTGTTGCAGACAAAGACACATCGCCCTTCCGCACGTGTTTAGGCTCATTTTAGCTGGAAGCTGCCGCATGAGGAAAGTATGCTGTAATTGTAAACACTGTCTTGTATTCCTAAAGGCAGTTTACCGTCAGCAGTATAGTGATGGGAAAAATTCCAGACAGGGGGTCCCAGCGTAATCCACATGGGTACCACCACAGTGATGAAACATGCTGAGTCTTTGAGCAACAGGAGAGCGGCACATGTCCGGTGGGCCAGCCGGAGTAACGCAGAGTAACATGCAGAAACAGCTGATCAGCTGTGGGTACGAGTGAATGGAAGACCCCCCCTAACATGGAGCTAAAATATGTCCCACTCAGCCCAGCACAGATACTCAGCATTGAGAACAAATGTGGAATGAACACCCATAGAAGCTCAGAGAATTCATTCCCTTCATGTGAAGGGATGTTAGTGAAGATTCTGCGTTGTTGGTATTTAAGAAAATTGCTAAATTAAAATTAAAATCTATAAAATCAATCTAAAGGCTTTCATTAGTCTACATTTCATGATTTGCACAGAAGTTTAGCTGATACTGAATCTTCTTAATCAGGGGTGCCCAGACTTTTTTCGTATGGAGGGAAAAAACCCTTAGAATTTATAAAATAATTGACAGACGTGGGCAGAAGACAAATATATCAAACTATTTTACATTGAAGTTGCCATGGGTGATTTCCTGATTAGTTTTTATAATACTGATAAATAGAAAACATTACTTTAAATCATATTACCTAATGCAGTATACATTTTTTATTATAACTTACTGCAATGCAAACAATCACATTTATAACACATTCTGCCACAAATGACTCTGCATTGTATTCTATCGATCTGATTAACTAATCTAAATAATTTATATCATTTAAACTGAATGGTTTAATGTCAGTTAGCTTTTTTTGTAGCTAAACAATAAAACAAACCAAAAAAAAGGTTACATACAATCTCTAAACTATTCCCATCCTTCTCCCTCTCTTCTCAGATGGCATGGTGGGCCAAATCAAAGGATACCATGGGCCAACTTTGGCCTGCAGGCCCTAGTTTGGGCATCTTTTTTCTAAATGTTGATAAAAACTGATGAATGATAGTTGGTTTATTTATCTCAACCTTTTATTTCATCAAAGTTGACTGGTGTTTTATCCAAGCATTAATATTAAGGAAATTGTGCAATGCATCTCCTACTGCACAGTGTTAAGTTTGTTAATAAATTTGTTTACCAAATTTCTACCAACAAAAACTAGATGAAAACTAAACAAAAATTGTCTTGATGATGACAACTATAATAGAAAATATACTGCTATTTTCATTGACTAATAAAAGCAAGACAAGAATGTGAATGAGGGACTTTTTGTAAATATTCAATCAGAATCAATCTTGGTGTGTGATGCGTGATGCATGGAATCATCCCAAAACTCATGCAAAGGTAAACTCTGATCTTTTTTATTTACTCGTGTGTCTGCTTTTTCCAAACTAAAATGCGATAGCCTCTCGCTGACTTTTAGAGATTTTAATCAGTTAGATTTTACATTAAAAGTTGATAAATCGGTCAGTCTTAAATTCATATGATCATATCAGTCATTTTCATGAGGAGTTTCTTTGCGTGTTTAATGTTAGCTGCGGCTAAAGTTCATCTAACTTGCGCTAGGTTCATGTTTTGTCTGCATCTGCCGCAATCCTCATGACAACAGCCATTTACAGTGTACCTGTAAGTTACCATCTACAGTAGATTTATTAGAATAAAATCTTGTTTAATTTCGTCGACTACTAAAACTAAAATGATTCAGAAGACTAAAATATGAGTAAAACTAAAATGTAATTTTAGTCAAAAGACTAGGACTAAAGCTGAATCAAAATTTGCTGTCAAAATTAACACTGCTGCAGCACCATGACCAAGAGAGACAGTTTGCCTAAATATATATTTAAAGAATGATAATGCTGCTTTTATGTAAGCCAAGTGATCTATAAAATGCCTGAAAAATCAACTCATGTAAGCACAAAATCCTTTTGAACTTTTGGAGGTTTCTGGAAGTTTTTGTGAAGTTTACATGTTTTCATTTAGGCATACATTTTCAAATCCTAATTTGGTTCAGGGAAATACAAATAGAGAGTCTCTTTTTCTACTTGTCATTGCAAGCTGTTCACACATTTTCTGATAATTAATGTAATTAATACGTTAAAAACGAATGTACATAGAGCTCTTTTTAGTAAAAGCATCATAATGTATTCTGAGAGGTTCTTATGAACTGAAAATCCTCCTAAAGTCTCATAAATGATTGAAAGATAGATGAAAGGTGTTATTTTTTGTCC